TAGCCCTTAAAGTACGCCAAGAACAAATTTGTCTGGGAATTGAGCTCCCAAATGGACAAAATGCCAAGATTTCACAGTTCGCAGATGACAGCACACTCATTAATCTGGAAGATACCAGGTCACTAAGAAATGCGATGAGCACTGAATTCATTTGGAGTATTGTCCGGCTTGCGATTAAACTAAAGGGAAACAGAAGCTTTGTGGATCGATTTTTTTGAGCAAAAACACTTTAGAATTTGAGTGTCCAGAGGACCCGATCCAATTTCTTGGAACATACCTTTCCCATAATGAAGCTGGAAATGATAACAAGAATTTTTATATCCAAATAAGGATAATGGAAGGAAAGCTCAACATTTGGCTCTCGCGTGACCTGACGTTGCGATCAGGGCAATTACCTTTCTCCTCAAGAATCTGGTGTCAAATATAATACTAAAGTCAACTTTTTGCATTACTATAAGCCCTGCTACATACATACATAACCTTTATTAAAGTGTCTAATCGTTCTAGTGTCCATTGGCACTAATTGGGGACACCTCTAAAACTAAATTACATCATTAAAAGAAACGAATTAAATACTATAAAACATATAAAACGCCGGAAATTAACACTATTCAAGCTAAGTACTCTTTTACACTTGAAAACAAAGTTCTAAATTTACTCTTTAACACTTTGAAGCTAAGTTCTAAATTTATGCGTACGTCCAGTTAACCTAAGCATAAGCGGCATTCACTCCCTTATCCTTCGAGAAATGATGTTACATCCTTCTTACGTATCATTGTCCTAAAAGTTGCCAAAGTTCCAATGTTTCTCTCCTCCCTGCTTAATTTTGACCACAATTGTGGTCCGAGAAATCTGAGAGAATGTCTTCCATAAGTAACAGTTTTAAACTGAGGTAAGACAAAATCTGCATTTCTTAGGTTATATCTCTTACTATTAGTATTCTCCTGGTTGATATTAAAAATATCCGCAATTTGGTTCGTTGTTAATTTTTTTTAACTTTAAACATCAAAATGAGTATATCTTGCAACCTCCTATTTTGTAAAATAGTTAACTTAGCTCTTTTCAGCAAGGTGTCATAACTTTCGGTAGTAGTATTATACACTAATCTTAAGGCTCTTTCTTGTAGACGCTCCAATTTACGACTATCAGATGCCGTGCAAAAATGCCACACTAGGTGGCAATAGGTAAGGTGTGGCATGATAGCTGATTTGTACAAAAGTAACTTGGCATTTACGGGGAGAAAATCTTTAAGCCTTCTTAATATTCCGATCATCCCGCCAACTTTCTTACACACACTACGTATATGATCTCTAAAGTTTAGGTTTTCATCTAGGTTTACACCTAGGATCTTGATGGATTGTGACTGTTCGACTTTTTCACCACATATATCCAGATCAACGTTCCTTTCTCCTTTTGGATTTCCCAAAACCATAGCTTGATATTTATCGCAATTGACTTTTAAAAGATTATCTTGATACCATTTAGTCATCCTCTCTCCATTGTCCACCAGTATCTTCTTCACACTTTTCGTTGTTTCATTTGCAACAAAGACCTGATGGTCATCCACATACATCGAGAAGTTGGCATCTGATATTATATTAGGCATATCGTTCTGGAAAATATTCAACATAAGTGGTCCAAACGTGCTTCCCTGTGGACATCCTCTTTTCACCACAACCCAGTCACTTGTTACAGAACCTATCCTTACTCTATTCTCTCATCCCTGAAAATATGATCGTATGAGCTGTATGGCTTTATCGGAGAAATTGTAGGCCTGCAGTTTGTTTATGAGCAACTGAGGGCTAAGAGAGTCGAAAGCCCTGCTCATATCCGATGACAATATACCGACAATTTTCTTGCTTTCTAGTTCTGCTCTCCATGTTTCGGTCAGCCTTATCAGCGTGTTCTCACAGCTATTCTTTGCACGATAGGCGGTGATAGCATCACTGAGTCTGTCATCCATAAACTTACTGACTTGTTGGCCCAGCAATACTTCATAGACTTTATTCACGCATGGCAGCACCGTGATAGGTCTATAGTTTGGATCTCTTTGTTTATCATCCTTCTTATGTACCGGTATCCATTCTCCACGCTTAAGCTTTGCTATCCATTCTCCATTTCTAATCGCTTGGTTAAAAATCACAGGAAGAGATGGAGCTAACTCAGTGGCGCCTACTTTAAGGATCTTAGGGTCCATCCTGTCATATCCCCTTGACTTGTTGCGGATTAGGTCGTTCATGACTTTTCGTAATTCTTCGCAGGTAATTTCGTTAAATTCAAAGTGGTTTTCATGTAGATCTCTCTTGTTGAGATTAATCGATATATTGAGAAGAGAGTTGTGATTCATGAAATCACTCTCCGCACAGTCATTTACGTGGTCCCCTCCAATTCCATCAGCCATTGTGGAGAAAAAATTAGCAAAGTGGTTAGCTACTTTGGTTTGATCCCCTTCCAACACATCATTAACTTTCAAGCAGATATTACCGCTGTTTTCCTGTTTGTTCTTGAAGTCAGTGAATGGTCTAAACGTTCTGTAGAACTTTCTTGGATCAGACGTGACATTATCTGATACTTTTTTTTTCTGCCTGATTGCTTTTCTTCTTTCTTTGGTGGCCTCATTGCGCCACTTTCTCTTCAATTCAAAATTCTCTGGTGTGGGATTTTTACTGAATTTTTTTGAGAAGCGTCTTTTAGCTTTAATAGTATTTTTCCACTCTCTCGTCATGTATGGTACATTATGTGCCCTCAAGTTCGTGTCCCTGGTAGGTAGATGATCATCAACGATCTTATTTAGTAGTGCTTCCCAATACTCGTACTGTTCATCAACAGATTCGAAACTCTCACCCACATGCCAAGCGGCCATTTTTAGATCTTCTTTGAACTTCTCCTCATTAAAGTTCTTATAGCTACGCACCTTCAGAATTCTGGTCTTGTGTTGCACTGCTCTCTCCTTCAGCGACGCATAGACCATATGATGATCACTAATTTCTGGGTTGTAATATATAAGCTATAAGCTCATCTCAGCCATTCCCACACATCTTAAAAAGAGAGGCATCTGCTCATACGGATCTTGGGAATCTTAATTCAATTGGTGTAAGCTTTGATTCTTATCTAGCCAAATATATAACTATAAACTTAAAGAAAATCTCCCGTAAGCAGTTTTATAAACTGTTTGCTAAGAAAATTAATGCTGAACCTACTGCCTTTAAATCGTGGCAGAACAATTGCCCTGAAGGTGCTGACAATTGGATGCACTGCATGCAAAGTAACTATAAAATTACTTGGCATAATAAGTTAAGGCAATTTTGTTTTAAACGTTTGCACAGAATAGTAGTCACCAGCAAGGAATTGAAACGCTTTGGGATAACTGATTACCGGAAATGTCTTATTTGCAGCGAAAATGACTCAATTGAACATGCATTCTTTGAATGTCAGTCGTTTAAGAAATCATGTGACGAGTCCCTTCAGTGGTTCAACAATGCAAAAGAAAGCTGTTACATCCGAATTTATATCAAAGCTAATTATTCAGCTAAAAATATACTATTAGCTTGACGATGACTGCGTTTCCGTTATTCCAAATTAAAATTCTTTTTGGGCGGTTCAAACAATATCTGAAATTTGTTCTGTTCAGTAAAACGTTCTTCTGTAGTAATACCTTCGTCTGTGCGCACAATAAGTAAACATCTTTTTTTGGTTTCTTTTTACTTCTCTACACTCTTTTTATTTAATAAGAATATATTTTATAAGAATATCGAGGCTGAAATCTGCGAAAATTTAAGAATATTTCAGGAATAAACTCCACTGGCTGAAATTTTGAAAAGGATATAGATTTCGGGTGTTTTGTGTGCTGAAAATCTGTAAATACAGTGCAAACGTACCTTTTTAACTGATTCCTTTCTCTAAACGGCAAAACCAGCCAACAAAACGAAAAAACCTGTACTAACGTTAATTGATACCCTAAAGGTATTCAGGAACGAGAATGTGATAAGCTATGATTTGAGAATAATTACGAGAATATTTTTAGCCTAAGATCGACAGAAAAATAAAAATATTCAGCCTGGGCCGTAAAAACAACATTCTTATATATAAAAAAGAATATACGTACTTAAATTAATGCATTTAGCAGTCTATTGTTGTTTACATGTATTGTACATATTATCTAAGATTGTTTTTTTTCCCCACTTAACTTACTAATAAAGTGGAATAAATAAAATAAAATATAATATAATATAAGGCAATATGATATAATATAATAATAATAGTAACACAGTAATGACAATAATAATAAAACTAGTGATACTGTTTTGATGCCTGGAAAGTCATTGTAGCATCCGGTTTCTTCTTCATCCCTCTTTTTCTTCCCTAAGTAAAGAATAAATAAATTAAGCTTATTTTCTTTTTATTCCTGTAGTTGCAATAAGAGTAAATCAACGCTAAAGGTACCTCAAACAATTTTGATGCTAGCAGTTGTTTTTCGAGATGGGCGTAGTTCATTCACCAAATAGAACGAAGAGTAATTTAGGAAATGGCTGAAAGCAAATCAATTTTTCCAGATCTAAGAAACTGCACAGTCTAAAACTTTGAACAGGGCCATGGCAGTTTTGGATGCCAATTTGTGTAAGTCAATTTTCAGTAAGATATCCGATTTGCGAACCAATTAATATAACCCGAGTTAAAGTGAATACCCCATTTCTCTCCTAATTAACCTTTCTTCAGTGATTCTGAAACTTGGAAAATGGCCTAGCTTAAAACGTAATGAACTTATTGCAAAACAATCTGTCTTTTCTCTCTTTAAAATTTTTTGGTTGCTTAAAAATAGGTGGATTAGAAGGTCAGCAAAATTCGTTTCGGCTCCACTTGTAAATTAGTTTCTATAATAATTTAGGCAAGGGCCACAGGTTCGTCAGTTTTTACTCTAAAGTGCTGCCCCGTAAAATAAAGTCATTAACATTATCATTATCATTATTATTATCATGGATCAAATGTTATTGCCCTATAACTCAAGACAACTTACATTTATACTTTTCAATACATTTTTCCAAGTGCCTCTTGTCTCTACAATCCAAAAAGTATTGATGGGGTCCTATGGGTGTTTGCTCAACAGTGCTTCCCTGAACAATTTTGCGTTTTGTAAGGAAACCCTTGCTAAAATCCTCCAGTACTTCGCCTCGCCTTCCAAAGGGTACGCAAGTTATATCAAACTTCTTGAAAAGCTTTATTGACGTCTCACTTCCTTCCATCCAAAACAGGTAAAAAACACGCCCAACTTTATGTGCAACAAGTTGTTTTGCACAATTGTAGCACGGCACATGAGTCGTGTAGATAGTAGCCATCTCCGGTCTTTCGGAGCAGTACTGTAGGGCGTTTACCTCAGCATGTAGGCCGAGTGCGTCAGTCAGTGCTTTATCCCTTTTCTTCTCTTGCTGCTTAGGATCCCCTTTGAAGGTGCGACCCTTTATTTCAGCTAGCTCCTCTTCAGGTGTGTTGGGAAGGAACCCGTTCCAACCAACTGCTAGGACTCCTCGAGGACCACCAGTTCTTGCGCGACGAATTACACAGCCAACACTGGGCTTTCCCTCAGCATGCCTTGTTACTTCAGCACGACTGGCTGCCATCAAGGCCATTTTCATCCACATGACATCAGTGTTGTCAGGAAAGTCATCGTAGCCGTTACTTTCCGCCTCAGCCATTCTGTCTTCAGTTTGTAACCAATATAACTTTAAAAAAAAAAAAAACAACATAAGCGTTTTTCTCTGATTTTCCACTTCTGAACTAATGCATTTGACAAATAAAAATTTTTAAGTCCACTGAAGTTGTGAAAAGTTCTCGATTTAACAACTTGTATTAAGACTGAAGAACCCGCCTGAGCCATGCATGACTCTGCACCAGAAAAAAGAATTCTGAGTTTTAAGTTTTTGAACAAAGAAAGAACTTCAGTTTATGATTGTGGCGTAACTATTTAACCTGAGATCAGGCCTAATTTTCGCAGTTCTCATACATTATCTCTTCAGTGCTCCCGCTAAGGCCCGTATGTTATTTACAAAGCGAAACGAAAATAGAGCCTGATCTCAGGTTATAACTATTTGAATTTACAGTATAGTTAAACTGAGTTTATTTTAAGCCGTGTTTAGTTCTAGAAGCAAATTGTAACAACCTTATGACATCCTAAGTATCTTTCATGAGGAGAGGAAACTAGACGTATGCTTATTTTGCGGGTTCCTACGTGTCAATTTTAAATGAAACCTGTTAAATAATTGATACTGTCAATATAATGTACATTTGCAGAAATGGTTGGTAAAAACTGTTTGTATTTGTCAAAAATAAGAATGTCATTCAAAAAAATTAATTTGAAGGGAAACCCTTGACACCTTGTTTTCCGGAAAAAATCGTACAAGGAAGGATGTAGTAGTGAATACGAAGGATGTATTAGTGAAAACGAAGAAACCACAAAAACTCAAAGCTTGCGGCCCAGTAAAGAACTCATCAGATTGACGAGGATGAGCTAAATTGATAGTAAATTAAAGAAATAACATATGTTAAATATCTTATCAACCTCAAGAGTTAAAAATATATTTCAACAAAAGTGTAAATAACTACAGTATGTTGCCTAGTATCCGGACACTTGAGACAAAAACTCAATTTTCGAGGCGCCCTTTTCAGTTCTCGGTAAACGAAGTATTTCGAATGAAAGCTGAGCATTTCATATTAAAGATGAAAGTTTTGGCGATTTGAAAGCTTGCGAAACAGTCCCAGAAGACGCCGTTCTGTTCAGGTGAGTAAACTTTTCATGGCTAATATTTACCCTGTTTACTGCACAGTAAAATTAGTGCTGCTCAGAAAAGGGAGGATAATGTGTGATATTTTCAAAGTAACTGTTTTATTTTTAAAGTGAAGATACTTAAGGAAGTCAGGTTTTCAGGAAGTTTATTACTTCTTCTTGAAATTCGATTTGTTTGGAATAACGGAGGCCGGAAACATTCACTAAGTATTGATGTCAGGTGCCCAGTATCCGGACAGTTTTTTCTTTGCTTTACAGAATCGATGAATTAGCTGTGTACATTATCCGGATAAGATTTATTTCATATCGGTAACTATAATTAAAGCTTTTATATATGATATAGTCGTAAAATATAATTCTACTCAACTTCGTATGGAAATTTTCTTCACTCATTCAGAGGCGACTTGATTTCGTGTGCACGGCTTGTTTCGCGTGACTGCATTTTCTATATATAACCTAAAGCGTCTGAGTTGAACCTGAAATTCTCATACTTTTCCCAGTTGTGACTGCTAAAATGGGGCTGCAACGGTCTGAAAAATGTCACAAAGGGACTGAGAGATGTGAAAGAAGGAGGAATTAGTGCTAGAAAAGCAGGCTTATTGTGGGGACTGAGCATGAAGAAATCAACACTGCAGGTTAGACTAAATAGGAGAGTGACCTTTGACCGTCGAATTGAGGTCCCTTCCCCAAGCTTTTTTTTCTTAATAAAAAGTGAAGAAAAAAAGTCGTTTGCAGATTGGCTAATTGAGCTTGCAAACTGCGGCTTCGGTATGTCCACGGATGCCTTCCTCAAATCAGTGAAAACGTTCCTAGACAAGGAAGTGAGAATTATACCATTTTCAAAACAGCCGCTCGCGTTCCCCACCATACCCCAGTCATTTGTTATGTTTTATTTCACGATGCTAAATTATATTTTTGGAATCGATCGCCAGACTACTTTACAAGTGCAAGAAAAGCTTATCAGTCGCTTGCCTGTCGAAATTTATGTACAATTACGTTGTTATTGTTGTGTCCGGATACTGGGCCAGCTGTCCGGATACTGGGCAACATGGGAGCTCTGCAAAAATATTAATTTCGCGATGGAAACAAAGGCAAAAAAGTTAAACTGTCTTTCGTCATATTAAGAACTAAATAGATTTTCTCTGCGCCAAGTTTCAGAGCCCTTGCGATTAACAAAGGAAAGTTATTGCAATCTTAAAGTAAAGTGTCCGGATGCTGGGCAACATACTGTATTCATAACTAACCAAAAATATGAACTGCTGCCAACTTGCTCTTCGGCGGAGAAATTAAAGTTTGATATGCGCGTCACGAACAGGTAATATTGAGTAAGGCAAATTTGCCTCGAAACATTACAGGCCTGCTTTAGATTCAGCTAGAAAATGAATCTTGAAAATAAAATAAGAAGGTCTCATTGGCTCTGTCAAGACTACCAAGACATAACACACATGATTTATGCATACATCTGCACCAGACAAAGAAATCGAATAATTCAACAACGCCATTTCCAACCACATATGCTAATTAACAATTATTCTTTGAAATCGAGGTGAATAGTGGCAAAATATTTACCGAGCCGCGAAAGCGACGAGGTAAATATTCCCAAAGCCACTATTCACCGAGATTGAGAAGAATAATTGTTTTAGTATATACACACGAAGTGATCTCAACAAAATCAGAAAGGAAACCATTCAAAAGTAGGATTTGATTGACAGATCAAATCACGCGTAAGTTTAAAAATAGATCTTTGCAGAATTTTCAAACATGGCAATTCACAAGTTTACTCATTTCGCAAACAACAGCGTAATGGCTTCAATGTAATCGCTAAAAGTTTGAACTGTTTCCTTACCTGAGAAAAAAAGTAGAGCTGTGTTGTTTTCTGTTGACTCGCCAAGTTTATAGCCAAAAGGGCATGTTGTGTCGTTCTTCGCATGAAGTGCTGACCAAAATGGCGGCTCGGTTGCTCGAGGTAAGAGGTCGTCTTCCTGTATCATTCTTTTTCCTGTTTACTTGAAATGTAGAATTTCTGCAAACATTTCCTTTTAAATTTGTTTGTCATAAATAAACTTCGATTTTTGAGCCAAAATTTTCTTCTTAGAAAACGCTGAGTTCACGAAACGGCTTCTTCTACGCGAATACACGGGAGTTGTAAACAATCCATCGAGCACAAAACTCCTGCTACAGTCAATTGAAAAACGCCGTATTGAATCCTTCCAAGTCTTTTCTTGCCTTAAAAAAAGTCAGCCCTAGGATTTTGTCGACTTTTAAAAGATCGTTCTCTAAAAAAAACGGGAAAAACACCGAGCTCACACATTATCCACTCGCTAGGAGGTGAATATTGTTGAATAGTCCGAGATAGCGAACCAATCAGATTGCTTAAATCACCAAGATCACTGAGTGTGTATATACTAATAATGATTTTTCATCAAATTTTCCTGTTTCTATCTTTTGATCGGGTAAAACAAAACTGTGTCTCATCTAAAATTCTCTTAAGCAACGTATGTAGAAATACTTACAGATCTACTGAAAGGTTTTTCACTGAAGCATCCAATAACAACACAGTTCCTGTTTTACCGCGTCTTACAAATTCATTAATTATTCATTAAAGTTATGACCAATCAAAGCTAGTATTGGAGTCACAAGCAAACCTCTGAAAAACCCCAATACAAAAGGTTAAATAAATTATTAAACAGTTAATTATAATTAATTAGGCGAAGTCTCGAATTTTTAAACCTGGGGTCAATTTAATAAAACTTTTACACGTGTAAGTGTGGCCATTGTTTTAAAGTCTGAAAACAATAGCTGCACTTGTAAATTATACTTGTAAAAGTTTTATTCAATTGACCCCTGATAATACACTCCTGCGAGTTTTTTTTTACAGTACATTAATGCAAAAACCATTCAGACAGGTAAACGTATTCCGCTCGGACAATGCCGAGGATATCAATGACATTTATTCAAGGAACCAGCAAAGAATGCTGTAGCGTCATTGATAATAGTAATAATAATAATCGACATCATCATCATCATAACAATTAAAATCATCATCATCATCATCAACATCATAACTGTATTAAGCAAAAAAAAAAATTGTATTATACAGTTTTCATCATGCACAGTGAATAGGTAGCTGGTAAACTTAATTATCAAAGAAAAAGACTTTCAAAAAAGACAATTTTTTTTGAAATGGTCAACAGATTTGTCCATCCTTATTTTAAGAGATCGACTGTTCCAGAGTTTACATAGCTATGTATTCCTCCGTCAAATGGATGAAATTTTGTGAAAACAGAATGGTGACTGGTGTGCTATATTTCATTTACGAACGGCAGAAAATTTGTTTTGTGGATGGACGAATTTTACGAAGTCCCTAGGAATACAGAAAAGGATTGAAAGATCCTTTAAGAGAAATCAAGAATGTAAAGCGATTTAAAGAACTGCAATCGATACCCCGTTGTTAAAATAGACATAAAGGAAAGGCCAGCTACAGATAAGAAGGAATATGAATACAAGAAAAGTGTTGAAGGCTGACTTCTTAAGTCTTCTTATGATAAAAGTGTCGACCCTTTGCTCAGATTGTTGATGCTGAATTCGAATCTGATGATGTCGTACAATGAGGTGGATATTAAAACAAAGATATGGAACAACGAAATTCAACGAGCTAGTCTATAAAGGTGCGCGACTTTTTGCTGTTTACCTGTTTATTTAGTCAGGATTATTCGTTGAATTCATTTAAATTAGACTAGACTATAAAATTCTATTTAAATCATGCATTCAAGCACAAAGTAGAACTTGAAGTTCTTGCGCCCACATCAGCCTCAATTCAACAGGCACGCTCATGCTTATATTTCAAGAAGGCTCTTTGATACTCACATTTTAAGCTTTTTTGGTGACGAGTAGTTGTATTGTGAAAACCTC